CTCTCTCTTTCTCTCTCTCTCTCTCTCTCACACACACTGCTCTATGTGTGCTCAGTGTGTGATGCATCAGTGTCAGCGCAGTAATTACAGGCTTATCACGTAGCTATAATCTCGAGCCATAGTGACGTGATAACAGCCAGCTTCATTGTCCCTGGTGTACACTCGTGTGTGTGCTGTGAGGACTTTTATGAGGATGTAATCATTTAGATAGGGCGATCAAACATTGATTGGTGATTTAAGTGTGTTGTATTATTCATTTTACATATATGTATTCATATAAATAACACGCGCTATCAGTGTAAGTCGCAATCATGGCTCATAAAATGGGTTTTTTCAATAGTTGTTGCTGCCTGTTGTGATTTATTCTAGACTCGGGGCTAAATAGGGCTGCAAAATCTTTTTTAATTATTTTTAACCATCATTTGAGATTTCACAAAACAAACCCAGCTATTTTACTTAGGAGTCCTTAAGGGAATTAAAACACATGATGACTCTGAGGGGTGAGTCAAATGTTTGGCTCTGCACGCTTTATGTAATCAGTTTGGGGAAATTAACAGTCACATTAACACGGCAGCTAAATGGCGGCACATTTTGGTTGCATCTGATAAATTAGATTTCTCCTCCCACACATTTTACCAGCCAAACAACCAGATAGTGTTGAGATTTAAGAGGAATTTTGACCCTGTAAAAGGTTTAAAAAGGACGGGAAGCTAGGAAGCTATAGTTTTAAAAGCATAATTGATTTGTAAGGAAGGGGTTTTATAGCCAAAAGGAAACTGCGTTCTTCTAAGTGTATGCAGTATGTATGCACAGGCAGTGGAACGATATGGAAATATAACTAATTCACGCTGTGCATTTAAAACTGAAACATCTTCCTTCAGGCAGCATTTTAATGTATGTACATTTTAGTATTCCCCGGCAGTTACACACGACTTTACCAATGCAGCTACTTTGAGATGAAAAACAGGCAACAGAACATTAGTATTAATCAGATGGCTCCAGCAGGCTGATCAGTATCTCATATAGATATCTTCTGCAACCAATCACTGCTCTTTCCCAGATCCTAAAAGTCCAAGATGACTTTTCACATCCAAAGATATTCGATTCCATTTGTTATAAAACAGAATCATATCTTCATCGTTGAGAGGCTGAAAAGAGCATTTTTAGACTTTCTGGCATGAAGAACTACTTGAACGGTTGACCGAAAAAAAAGTGTGCACCACCAACAACAACTGAGCCGATTGCGCAATCACAGCCCACTTTTCAGTGCGTGCGCGGTGCATGTGAACTGCGAGGGCGAGCCTGTGCGGAGGATGATAAAACAACATCTAAAAAGCAGACAGATGTTGACAGTTTGCCAGCCAGCCAGAATGCCTTGTGCTTGTTTAGGTGGAGCTGACAAAACGCGCACAATCAGTCAATCTGTCACCGAGAGACGCCCTAGGTTAAGTTCAACTCGTGGAGAAAGAGAGAGGCAGACAGAAAGAGACCAAACAGGAATATCTGAGAGAAAGGAGAGGTGGGGAGCCGAAAGGCAGAGAGGAGAACTAATCCGAACACGATCGCGCTCACTGTCCTGACCCGTAGAAATATAATGCTGTGGAACAAGCTCCTGAAGGCAGAGCATGCACACACACTGAGTGTTTCCCTGGCGGGGGCCGACTTGTCAGGGCTCAGCTGGGTGAACAGATGCAGGTGGTGCAGGCGAGACACGGGAGAAGGTCACAAACGGCGCTCTATTACACCGGGCTGTTAAACTCAAACCTAAACACCGTCCTCAGCCAAATACTACTGTCTGTCAGCACCACTTCACATGGCATTTTCAGCTCATTCCTGCTCGTCCAAAACGCCAGACGGGAGCATTAACTCTGACACATGCCTTGTCTTTTTTCTTTAAACATTAAGATGACACTCTAATCCGGTACAAGGCCCATAATGGGTGCAGTGGGAGGCCTTCTGGCTGAAGGACGCTCTGCCGGGTGTGTTCCAGATGATCAAACTTGTGACCTTGCACTTATCAAAACAGCCTCCTTTATCCGCCATTGAACTGTGACTTTCATCTTTATCGTTTTTGCTTTTCAAAGGGAGTCCAAAGATGAGATGTCTCTCCCACGTTTTCTCAGGAAAAGTCTCAAGGTAATGAGGCTGCATGATATGTAGTGATCCCAAAGCTCCTAGTTAGTCGGCTTTAATTAAAAGCTGTTCACTTGCTGCAGGAAAAACAACATATTTTTCCATATTCATTCATCTGCTGCACAAATGACTGCATCACATTTGCAGCCAGTGTGAATTTCCTAACAAAATATTAGCTGTAGATGCAAGTCGCACTTTGTGTTTCATCACATTTGACTCCCTGGAAAAGTTTTCCCGAGCCGTTGACAGAATAAGCGGAACGTCGGCAGGTTCCCCTTCTGTGCCAATCTCCATCCCTCTTACATTTCACTCCCCTTTTTTTTCCGATAAGCGAGTCCAATCCTGCTGATGTATCCCTGCCTTCACTGCTTTCAATCAGCTGCCAGCTTCCAGTCCCTGCAGTAGATCATCTCTCCACATCAGAGGAATTTAGGCAGCGAGATCTGCTCAGCCTCACCTTCATAAAACATTTATCTCCTGACGGCTATCTACATGCTCTTCCTCCTGAAATACTCTCTGCCAATGCCTTGAAATGTACTTGCTGATCCCGTCAGAAAAAGTGCTTTTCTCTCCGTCCTATCACAAGTTAATTTCTCTTCCACCGAGCCAGCACTGGGCTGTCAAACCTGTGACCTTCAGGCGACGGGTCTCACCAGCGGACGCTCCATGCCCCTGTCGAGGAATAATTCATTTCTCCGCAGTAATAGCTCAGTCATGCTTGTTTAGTAACCAGCGAGGGAATTCGTCCTGTCCTACATTTATATTCTGCACGTGCTATGCCCTTTACCACCTTTGGCTTGCTCGCAGTGAAATCCGCTTGTCTGTTGTGTTCGGGTCATTAACAGCTGCGACCACCTGTGTGGCCATTTTGCTGCAGGATTAGGGCCTTCTGGGAAAAAACGAGACAAACACTTCAAACGTTTCTGCAGCAATGCAGTTGGGAAAGCATTTAGATATGACCTCCTCATGGACGCTTTTTTTTTTCTAAATGTGTCAGCTGTGAAGCGTGGAATTCTACGTCCTTGTGTCCTTGCCAACTTCCCCCAAAAATACCCAGATGGGGAAGACAAAGGGTGTCGCAGCTTTGGTGACGTGAGGATTCAGACAGGTTCTTGGCAAAGCTGCAGGCCGTTGTTTTTTTAGTCCCTGGAGTGTCCTCAACAATCAACGCTCTCCAGCAATAATCTGAACTCCTATGATAACAGTATGTGTGTCGCTAAATCGCTTTGTTTGCACGAGCAGCAACTGTGCACTTATGAGTGCGATCAAGGGTGCGCATATTAGGAAATGTGCCTGTTTGTGTACCAATAGGCATGCAGTCATGGGTAAAATTTGCATGTCGAGTGCATCTGTACGTGCGTGTGTGTCTCTGATGACAGCGGGCTGATTAAGCTGTTGCATAGTAATGAGCTATGGCTGTCTGTCTGGCAGCTGCTCTCACAAGCTCCTTTCACAACTAACCCTCCCACACACACACACAAGTGCGCAGTAAGAGGCGTAGAAGTGCATGCACTGACACGAGAAATACCCCACTTATGAAAAAGCATCAAAGCCCACAACTGCACTGATGTTGTTGTAGTTAAATGATTGGGAAAGTTGTGCTAATGCAGGATGATACATTGAAGAGGGAGCTCATGTAACACACACTGTTTCCCAGAGCTACACTTCCTCTCCTTCACCCTTTGTTGCGTTTTCATCCTGATGAGCCACTCAGGGATAACAGTCATTTCCTGCCTCAAATCACTGAAGTCAGGACAAGTAGCGTGTAGTGTGTGTGTGTGTGTGTGTGTGTGTGTGTGTGTGTGTGTGTGTGTGTGTACCTAAATGCTGTGTATTTGTATGTTGAAGTACCTTTGTGTGTGAGTTTGTGTTCCCCCATCGTCTGTTAGAAATATCTCCGGGGCAACAAGATGGATGTGTGTTTGTGTGTGGAAGTGTGTGCGGAAGTGAGCCATCCACTTCCCTCATTTAATGGAGGTCAGTGTGTGTGAACACCCGGAGAAGAACATGGACACTAATGCACTGCTGAGAGTAGGGCTGACCCTGTTTTGGTGTTAGTCGACTAAATCATTTTTTATATTTTTCATGCCGACTTATTTCCAAGAACTGGAGAACACATGATCTAAAGTGGTGTTTTTACATGATTCTTTATGGCAAAAACGGATATGTTGAATCAAATAAACTAATCACTATTCGACCAAATGGTATTGAGGATAAGGCGACTAAGAATTTCATTGGTAAAGGAAAGCCCCAGCTCAAAGAAAATGTAGAGTTCAAGGAAAACACGGAGTAAGTAGTTATTATTTAAAAACATACAGACATTATTGCAATTCTCGTTGTTGCTGCACACTTTTTTTTTAGTAGTTCTTAATGCCAGAATGTCTAAAAATGCCGTTTTCAGTCTATCAACGATGGAGATGTGATGCTTTTTCTCGGTTTTATAACAAATTAAACTGAATATCTTTTGGTTTTGGACTTATGAAACAAGAAATTGACATTTAGAATCTGGCATTCTTGTATACACCATTTTAATGGAGATAAAATAATTGTTAGTTGCAGCCTTCACAATAACGCATTTCAGAGTATCTAGTATACATCACCTAAAACATACATGAGAAATACAATAAAAAGAACTGGCCTAAACCATGTTTGTTTACTACCTGACCTGTATAATACTAACAACGATAAGGTTTTCAAATAAACGTCAACTGTATCCCCTTACAAAGGCACACATTGGTAATAGGATAAAGGGGTGGTAGTGAGATTATTCCTCATTCTGTTAGTGGGGGCTGACTCCCAGGGGACCCCCACCCCCCTCAGCTTGGGAAGCCGCCATTTAAAAAGAGGTAATGTATATGAATCCTTACCTTGTTGACGTCCCCTTCCTGACATCACACATCATGCACTTAAAAGCCTCTGCCGTGTTCTTGTACGTGCACACGCTGCAGTCCCAAAACCCCTCGTCGGAGGAGGGCTTCGGTTGACGCTTCGGCCTTTAAAAAACAATAAATGTACACACAAAATTAAAAAATAACCGAAGAGAGGTGGTAGTGGTGGTGGGAGACAAGAGAGAGTTCAGCTTGCATGCACGAAATGTAGCAAACATCTGTGTAAGCCTACAGGATTTAGGAAATCATCTGCACACACACACATGCAGAGAGAGAGAAAAGAGAGAGAGAGAGAGAGACCGTGGAGAAAACCCATTTTTTTCCGTGTCCGCTCCCCTCTCGTATCTTGAATATTTAGCCCGTTTTAACTCGGTTTTTACCTTGTGGGACTCCTCTTGTCGCCCATGCCAGACCGGGGTTTCCGTGGAGATGCTGAGACGAGCTCAAGTCGTTTTATTTCCGATTATTTTACCAAAGAAAGCGATGCGCCCGTGCCGCTCGGCTTCCAGCTGTCGTGGAAACTCCGCTTGGGAGAGGGTCACGTGATTCGCTCCGGCCAATCAGAGGCAGGGTTACTTCCCGAGGCTGACATTCCTCTTGATGAATCTATGCCGTGTTCATGTACCCGCTTGGAGGGTCGTACTTCTGTGTAACGAGGGTGTTACAAATCCATATTATGGGGGTTATTATGACTAACATGACTCGTTTAGACGCGGTTTGAAAGCTGATTCTAAAATACAGCAAGATGTACACCTTAAATTAAGGAAAAAGTCAAATTGAAACGGCTGATATCAGTTAATGCCTTTTAAAAAGATAATAGATATTATTTAAAAAAATTAAGAATATTGTTGTGCTGTAATTTGCTGTATTAAATACAAGAATGCCACATGCATTAAATGGCTATAAATGGTTATTTTCTCAACATAGAATCCCATCTTTCTTTGTAGAAGTTATCTCTTTATCCACTCTCCTTGTCATGAGATCTTTCATTTCCGGCAGCACCTAAATGCAACAAAAGCTATAGTCGCACTCGCTCATGTGTTAACCGTTTAGATCATTTCACTGTACAGGGATTCCTCTCTCATCCCTCTATATATTCTCATTTGACTCGCTGACTGCAGGATTTCCGCAGTAGTTTAGATCATTCGCCTTAAACACCGGGGAATACCTCGCCTGATTTCTGTGCTGACGTAAACGGGAATCAAAGGACACATTTCCAAACGCATGCTGGTTTTATAATGGGCCTGAGAAAAAGACCATAGCCTGGGGATCCTGAACCTTTCATGTCAACTAGATCTCCATAATGTCCCCAAGATGAGATTTTTGAGCAAGGAAACCATAACTGCTGCATTTTAGCTGTTGCAATATTTAGTATTTACACACACCGTCAAAATCACTACATGTAGTTCAGAAAGACTCATTACATTTTAATCCTTGTTGGTTGTGTCTCAATAGGAAACATAGCAATACAAAATAAACATATGACACACATCACTTATTTGGACAGTTTTGGGAAACATAATACAAATGAATGAACAAAATTCCACTCAGTTCACCGGTAAAAGTAAAAAAATGTCTCTTTCAGAAATCAGTATCTCATTATTTGTTTAACACCGGAACAACAACAAAGAATTTGGCCTGTCATTAAGAAGCAAGGTTTTATTGACTGACATATAAAAACAAATACAATGTTTGAGTTTTATGTACAAGAAGTAAAAAGAAAATCTGATGTGTATCTGTGTAAAGGATGCATCTCCCATATAATACAACTTACAAAAATAAAGGACTATTTCATGTATAACATAGGGCTTATGTCTAAACCCTGTGTTATAACTATATTATCATTATAATTAGTCGCTTAGCTCCTCCTCATCACTGAAATACGCGCTCTTTTTGATCCTTGGTTTCTTGGAGTCTGAGGATGTTGAAGCGTGAGCACTTTCTTCTTGAGACAAACGTGCCCGCTTCTTCTGCGTCTCCTCTGCCTCAATACTGGCTTGCTGAAAGGACACAAATGGGGAAAAAAGGGAATATAACACTGCTAAAAGCTAATAATTCAATTCAAGTGTATGGTGCATTTAAAGGTCCCATGTCATGCTTTTCCGGTTATTACCCGTCCCCTTGTGTGTTATGTAGCTTTTTCTGCATGTAAACGGTCTGCAAAGTCACAAACCCTCAAAGTACAACCTGTAGCGAGTAAAACACAGAAACACAGAAAAGACCTGTCTATGCGGCCCCAAAACGCCTCGTTGGAGATTTCTCTTTTTCCATTTTTTTCTTCCTGAGTAAAGTGACGTAACCATGCCCAGGTCCAAATGGACCAATCTGTGGAGCTCCTCACACACACACACACACACACACACACACACTCACTCACTCAGCCTTATCTTTTCTCAGCTGCGGCTCTGCGGATTTCTCAGCCTGAACTCAGCCTGAGCACACACACAAACTCACAGCCAGGCTGCGATGTCTCGCTGTCTCGCTGACCCCACGCAGCAACCAGGAAATGACCCCAGTAATCCAGCTCACACTGTCCGCAGCAGCGAGCCCCGCAACGTCTCGCCAACACGGCACCCAGACCCCACGCAGCATTCTCATCTGTTTGTCATTACTGGTGTCATTTTCTGGTTGCTAACAAACGCCATTGTAACACATAATCACTGATGTTCCGCTGTAACGGTGGTGGACTCATCAGAACAGAGTGGGCGAGCTGACCAATCAGAGCACACTGGGCTCACAGGGAGCAGGAGCTCCAACAAGCCGTTTAGGACAGAGAGTGAATACACATACTATACAGAGATGCTGTATGAGAATCCAATGTGAGTTTGGAACATTGAACAATGTAAATCTATTCTAGTAGACCTCAACAATGGAATTATGATCAGTAGAAATGGCCATGACATGGGACCTTTAAGTCAAGATGTCTATTTTGATTTCTATCCCTGCACACTTACCTGAAAAGCTATGGCTTGGCTCAGACTGTCCAAGGTTGGGTCCTCTCCCTCTTCTTCACTTTCTTCTTCTTCTTCCTCACTTAAATGGAAAATATGTAGGAATTACAAACACAAAACTCTTTAATAAAGAAAATCTGACAATATCAACTGTAAAAATACGTACACATGCCCAGGTTTTTCTGCCTCTTTCTTCTTTTTCTTCTCTTTCTTCTTCGGAGCTTCCCTTTCTCCCAGGATGTTTTTGGGGCATGCGTAGCTCAGATGACCCGTATCCTGTCATGTTTCATTTGAAAGCACACACAATCACTTAACATCCTCTAAGATAGTTTTCTACACATTCAGAAAAGAATACAAGCAATTGAAATAAAATAAGTTAAATATGCACTGACCCCACATTCGTAACATTTAGTCTTGTCCGTGTAGTTTCGTCTTTTTATGAACTCAGTTGCTCGTCCATTGTCTACGGCGATGCTCGCTTTCACTGTTCTGCCAAACAACTGGGAGACAAACATAGGGGTATATATAGGGTTGCAAAGGGGCGGAAACTTTCCATGGGAAGTTAAGCTGGGAATTTTGGAAATATTCGATGCAAAATTAAACAAAAAACATGACATTTCAACAGATTTTTTTTTTTTTTTAAGTAGAACAGAACAAGTTTTAATTATTTTATTGAACAATTATTTGTTTCATTGAAGAACGAAAACAGGAATGTTGAGTTAAATAGTACTCATCCCCCCCAACCCCACTCATTAAAAAATGAACAAAAATGCACCCCCCATCCAAAAATCCCCACAAAGTCCCATTCAAAATGTTAAATGAAAAGATGTGGCTTCATTTTTCTTGTGCTTTGGGCTCAAAAGTATGATCCAGTCTTCTCGAAATCATCTGTGCATGTGATGGAGGAATGCACAGTGCCTGTAGGGGGTGTGGTCTCAATAGCCATGCAGTAAGCAGTGTGCTATGGCATGGATATTCAAGTGTACTTGAATGGCATCTGTTTGTTTTAGTCAAGATTATGATAAAATATACTTTCCTCAACTATATTTAAGTTCCCTATGAAGAGCCAACCTTCAATTTAGAAAATTCCTAGTTAATTCCCATGGAAAGTTTCCATCTTTGAAAATTCCCGGAATTTTGCAACCCTAGGTATGTATCAAGTTTATATCTGTTATTCATTACAACATCACTGACTGCAACTAATACATGTCTGAAAAATAAGAACATGACAGACTGACCTGTTTGTTGTTCACTGCTTTTGCACAGTTATGAGCTGATTCTCTGTCCAGGAAGAGAACGAACGCCACCCCTTTACTCAGGCGAGTCTCTTTATCTTTAACGATTGTAACCCTGGAATAAACATGGCGGTTATTAATACCAAACGTATAATAATAATAACTTTATAAAGCACATTTAAATTAAGTTATTGTTAGGTGCTTTGACAACAAACGCAGGATCTCCAGAATGTTATAAAACAAGAAGGCATCACAGTAAGGCAAGCCCAAAGCAAGATTAAATTAAGGTAACATTTAAACAAAAAATTGAAAAACCTAGTAGAGAGAAGACAAATGATGGAGAAATAAATGAGTAAATACATTTTTTTAAATGATACAAAAATGCTAGTCTATAAAATGGGTTTTAAGAAGTCATTTAAAAGAGGTCAGAGATTAAAATTGAGTATTCAAAGCCATTAACTGCTGTTTTGGTGTACACATTACTAAAAAAGAAACACAATTATGCAAAACAAAATACGACAGAGCCATTACTTACTTTACAACCTTTCCATATTTGGTGAATAGCTGAAAAGAGACAAAGTAATCTGTTTCAATATTCAAGTTTCTTTCATTTAGATTCCATGGTGGTATTTTACTTATTTCTGTTGTTGCCAGGCAAAAGCATCCTTAATATTATCTCCTAACACTGTGTAGGATCTTACCTTGTGCAGGTCATTGTTGGTGAGAGAGAATGGCAGGTTTGACACATACACAGTGCTTCTGCTTGGTGCCAACCCCCCGCTCATACTGGACGCATATAACACACTGGAAGAGGAAAAGATCACAAAGTTAGTTCAAGTTCTACCTCTCTATGAACAATCTGCACATACTGTACTTACATACTGCAGCCTAATTACACTACCTCACAGTATTACACACTACTGTATCTATCTATCTATCTATCTATCTACCTACCTACCTACCTACCTATCTATCCATCTATCTATCTATCTACCTATCTATTGTATCTATCTGACAGACAGATAGACAGACATATAGTTAGATAGTTACAGCAGCTCAGTCATTCAAATAATTAAAAGGGGGGAAACAAGTATGAACATAATGCCATAAAAAACTAAACAATAAAAAGCAAGTATATATACATATCTACAGTTTAAAAAAAAAGGACATCACAAAGAATACTCACTATAAAATGTTCTAGATAGGAGAGGCCAATATACTACAGCAACAGAAATATAGACTTATAGTATGTATATGATATTACAGTAGCTGAAACATACAGTTAAAAAATACAGTCGTGTCTATCTATCTATCTATCTATCTATCTAAACATGTTTAATAATGCTCACCCAGCTTCTTAGCTAGTTTAGTAACTCCACTATTCATGTCGCGATTCACATTTTAAATTAAGTGCAAGCAGAGGAGTACAAACGACTTACCAAAACAGCCTCCACCTTGTAAAACCAATATAACAAATATAGTGTTTTTAAAAAAGCCGACTGATATATGAATGAGTGTGAAGCTAATGTTTAGCAAAAAGAAACAAATGCTTTCTTCTTCTTCTTTTCACGGTTTTATTGCGAGTGGCAGCTAGCGTTAGCATTAGCATTAGCGCCCCCTACTGTATTGGAGTGAATCTACCACAAACATTTAAATACAAAATAAATAAAACATTTAAATTATCTTTATTAACTGAGTCATTCCTAGCATTCGGTGCCATTTAGGTCCCCAACACATTATATCATATATTTTGTATTTAAACGGTCTAATGCTTATTTTTTAAAAGCTTGGTTTTAAATGTTTATCCCCCTCTACCATAAAACAACAATGTTATTTACCCAGGATATTCACAATTCTAAATAATTACTCTGATTTTAGCACAAGTAGGCCGAATTGCTGTGTCCCCAATCATGTTTGCTCAACTTCTGTAACAGATATACAGAAAGAAATCAAAGAAATACAAAAAAATTCTACATTTTTGTCACTGTTGTATAACCCTTTTGCTAATATTCCTCACCAAATTTAGTTTTTTTTATGAATTAATTTGTATTGTTTAAAGAGTGTGTGTCCCCTGTTTGAATGTCCCCCCTGTTACTCTGATTTGAATCCCTCTGGACAAACCCCTTTACTATTCTACTATTTGTATGACTCAAGAAGAAGGATACATTTTGAGTGGAAAAATCATCTTCAAGAAGCAAAGTGTATGCATTCTTCCTTCAACGTTTTTTTTAACGTTTTTAAAGAACTTAACTGTTGCGGTAAAGCATAACATGTCCACCCTGTTATGCTCATGTTAGTGGAAACTGATCATTTGTTTTACATTTAGAAAATATGGTGAATATATCGATCAAATATATGTTTCTGTTGTCACCAAGTGCTAGCTTGATTATCATCACACATGTAGCAATAGCCAAGTTTAGCATAAAATGTCCACCCTGTTACTATTTTTCACATTAACAGGGTGGACACACATTAGCCTATGTTAAAAAAGAATTTTTTTAAACATAATATCCTGAGCTTGACCAAAATATTTTTCTTATACTTTAACAAGCCATCATTCAGATTAAATACAAAAAAAACATGGAAAATTATGTTTTGTATTTTTGATTAACCTAGCTGAAATGGCACCGAATGCTAGGAATTACTCAATCTCTGTTTGTGTCAAATAATATAATAGTCTCCCTGACTCAATGTCTAATATTACTTTGGACCATGTATACATTAGTCTCAGAAAAGGGAAGAGAGGATTTATGCCAGATTTTAGCTCATTTCTGATTTCCATCTGCAGTATTTAGGCAGAATCAACAAACACTTAATAAAACATTGCGTAATCTCTATCACACAAGCAATTATAAAACAGATTAAAGTACAGGTGAATCTAATATTACACAGTACAGTTCAATTACATTTCAATAAAAAAACTCAGATTACTCTTATGTTAACTTGACTTATAACTTCACACTGTACACTTATATGCAATTATGTATGCCCTTCCTTGCACACTTAATGGTACACGGATTTGTTTGCTGTAAATTGGCCCTAAATAGTGTTTTATTTGTCAGATAGTTTACAGATTTGTAGATAGTGATATGTTATACTTTCTACTCTTTTAAATGTTTAGCTTTATGCAATGACTTGTTTTTTATGCTTCTGTAACGAAAGAAAAACATCCCAATTTGGGATCAATAAAGTATAATTTGTATCTTATCAATTTCCATTATCTCCTCATTTTGAACATGGATGTATAATAAGATTTTGAAGAGAAACAAACGCATTGACTGAACGTCCCCACTTGATGACGTATGCACCTCCCTCGTCCAATAAAGATAGCCGCCTGTCCATGTAGCTACCGGGAAATGCTAAGCTAACCAAACGATAGAGAGAAAGGTACGATTGTTTGCCTCTTTTTTTACTGGAATTAATGCCCTTTCCTATGCGTTGTTTAAAACGTAATGATCTCTGAGATGCAAGGTTTTGGCGTGAATTAGTATTTGGTGTTTTTGTGTTTTAATATCTATTGAAAATCCCATACAATTGAACGTGTGAATGCTTTCAACACGTATGAGGGCTAACTTTAGCATTGCTAGTATTTTGATGTACGTGAAACTACAGTATTAAGCAGTGTGTTGACATTACAGTGCATGAAGGGGTTTTTGTATTTAATAGTCTAGGTGCTATCAAGCTACTGTTGTGTTTACTTTTGTGTTAATCTGCAGACAATACTCTCAGCCAGCTCAATAACTGTTATGTTATGTGATGACATCTACTTGTCAAACAGTGCTTCATATCTTATCTTATTTAAGGAAACATGCAACCTACAACGTTTTTTTTCTTTCTACATTCCTTTTAAAGAACTGCTTCATGTTCTGTAATGAAGAGTTTTTACCTAAATAGTGGAACGAAAACGTATGGGATCAATAAAGTATATCTTATGTGATGACATCTAGTTGTCAAACCATACAATTACAACCTGTTTCCCCCTTCTTCTTATTTTTTCTTTATATACGCTCAACAGTTGAAAACTCAAAGTGTTTAATCTAACACTATTTACTAAATCTTTTTACAGATTGTCTTGAAGATCGGTACATCACTGCGACTGACAGAGGTCCAAAAGTAAGTTCTCATTTATTTTTTAACATCACCTTGACAACAAGATAAACGCAACTACTGCCTTTGATAGAGATCACATTACAAAACACAATATGTGGCACATGGGACACACTTCAGACCCTTATGTGTATATATTTCTTTATGCAAGACCTTTCTTCGTGTTGCATCATGCACTTGGCAAAACCAAAATTGATCGACATAATGAAAATCCCATTGATGTCATCAGATGAATCATTTACCATTATCTTCGTTCAGAATCAGAAATCTTTTATTTGCAGCGGGGGGAAAGTACAGTTACAGCAGCAAAGGTGAAGTGCAGATAAAAGGCAGAAGGAAAATAAGTAGACTTGCATAAAAAAAATTAAAAGGCGACAAGCATGAACTGCAAATACATTTATAGTACACATAAGCATTGGTATTGCATCAATGACTACAGGACCTTGTTTACATTTATTTTTGAGGAATTACCCTTGCCCGATTGCATGTTCGAACATACGGTTTCTTACATTGTTTTCATTTTGCAGTGACGTACAGGAGAGAGCGGAACATACGAGACGTGTACGATGAGCGCTTTTTAACAGAGAGACCGGTGAGTGTGGACAAAGTGACTTCTGCCTATTGTCTCTTCTCGCGGTACCGCAGCATCCGCACAAAAACCACCAGCCTCAGGGACAGTTTTATCCCACAGGCCATAAGACTGCTAAACACTTGAGCTCTGTTAAGTGCCTCGATAAACATTCCTGTTGTCATCTTGCAATATACTAATTTATATAAATAGTTATCACCGCAATAAACCGTATTTAATTTGCATTATTTAATTTCATATTCTGTTCTTGTACATATCATATTCTATTGACATGTATATAGGCTTTTTATATTGTAGTTTTGTATTTTATTATATATGTTGCATTGTTGGAGGAGCTCAGGTCAGAAGAATTGAATTGCCATTTCTACACTGTAGCTTTGTGCATATGACAATAAAAACCTTTGAATTAAACATCATTTTGTTATAAAATAACCTCTTTTAAAGTTTAACATCAAATCTCAACATATACCCATCCTTTTAGGGCGCGTACCTACGTCCTGCTGGGGCGACGGAGAGGAGGGTCCCCTTTGGCAGGCCGGAGGAAGATTATGGCCGCGGCGGGTACGAATACGAAGCAGGACCACGCTACTTCCCGAACGAAGGAGCGCCACGAAATTATCATGAAGATCAGAGGGCCTACCACGGCGACAACATCCACTTCCCTGCAGAGCGGAGAGCTGTTCCGCCTGCAAGGAGGGTGAGAACATTAAAAGTCATACTATCAATGTGTTTTTTTCTTCTTACCTATGAACATAATTGAATAGAAAGAAACTTCCACAACTGAGAAGGAGCATTTCACTTTGAGCTTAATTTGAACGAGACGACAAATGTGCAAACAAAATGTTCAATAGCAGAGAAATATCAAATATGAGTCAAAAAGTCCGTTTTGAAAATCAGAAATATTAGCATATGCCCCTGTTATCAAACTCGTAGATATTTTTGTGAATGTTTTGTTATTTTATAAACCCTTTAAATTAAGATTACTATTGATACTAATATTTGCACCACAGTTACTTACTGTACATATGAATTTACACTAACAGTCATACAATTGCTGCAGACATATTGCAACTACCTAGCTGTTCTAATGTTGATGGTTTTATATGCACACTCACAATTTAGGGCTTTTTTTGTAATTGTATAGGAGGAGTATCCTTACAGAGTTCCCAGGGAAGAGCCCCTCCCAGGAAGGCCTCTGGAGTTTGGGTAAACTGCTTTTTGTTGCAATATTTACAAAACAAAACTCGACCATATATTCCTCTCAGGCATGCCATGTTGTACAGAATGCAGCTGACCTCCCATATGTGTGTTTATTCCCTCAGCGCCCGTGCACCACAACCTCACAGCGCACGAAGCCAAGGCCTCTACCCGGCCCCCCGGTCGCTGCCCGAGAGCGGAGAGGACACGCTGGTGCAGGCCATCCTCAACCTAGACAGAGGGTACGAGTGAGTGCATGCTAACCCTGCGTAGCCCAAGTTCATGTGGTTTATTCATTGCAACCATAAATGCTGATGTCAGAAAGGAAGTGTGTTATTAGTGAAAACACCTGGTATAAACGGTCAGAATTAAACCTGTCATATGTCAAGGCCTGAATGCTAGATGGCAGTGTTGTACTGTGTAGGCACTGGAACCAAAAAATGAAAGAGTAGAAGTGTTTTTTAGATTCTCTCAAAAATGTGTGGTTGTTAAAGTATTCAGATTCACTTGACTAATGCTTAAAATAGTCTGTTACAAGTAAAAAGTCCTGCATTGAAAATGTAATTAAAGTATAAGGAAAAGTATTACAAAAGTGAAAGTACTCGATGCAGAAAAAGTCTTCACATTTGAGAAGCTGGGGGAAAAAATGAAAGAAATTCTGTCAATAAGCAAATTTGATTAAGCGTTTAATTATTTATATTACTTGTAGGCCTATATATGAATGAATGAAAACTTTATTACAGACTCAGTGTCCAGATAAAAGACAAGACATTACATATAATAAATTACATACACAGCATAAAAAAATGTCATAGTTTAAGAATAATTTAAATCAGTGTCCTACAAAGAGACAACTATACCAATGCCTCCACAGCTGTGATTGGTAGCGTGTAGTACTAAACCTTATGTTTGATAAGGCCTAGAGGATTTCATTATCAGAGTCATTAAGCCGGCAAATACATTTATATATATTTATATAAATATATATATATATTGCTGGATCGCTCAATTTATAACAAACCAACTTATTTTATGCATTATTTTGTGTTGAAACTCTAAATTGGCAAAGAAACTCAAGCTGTCAGATTAATGCAGTAGAGTAAAACATACTTTATATTCCCTCTGAAATGTAGAAAGTGGCATGAACACTCGGGGAAACTACAAGTACCTCAAAGTACAGGACTGCAGTAAAGTGTACTTGGTTATATTCACGCACTGGTTGTTGCATCTGTTGTCAAATAAGGAAGAGGATCGTCAAGGTTCAAGGCTTTTATTGTCACTTGTTCATAGCTACAGTGTAGTTATGACGAGGAAATTCTTAGGTCACAGGCTCCTCCAACAGTGCAACACAATAAAACAGATAATAGTGCAAGTAAATAAAACAAATAAGGATATGATAGAAATTGTGCAGAATAGTCTATATACAAGCAATTGGAATATTTATATATAAGTTGCAGACAGATGAATGTTATGGATGTTCTTTCAAAAGTTCAGGTGTTTAACAGTCTTATGGCCTGTGGGATGAAACGGTCCCTGTTAACATTTAGAAAAAAACACTGAGAATAATCTATTCAAATAATTCCCCTCTGCTTCTCCCAGGGAGGACAGAGACCTCTTCAGGAGGAAGGCCGCCCCGTTCCCCCCCCCCAGAGAGCGCTCCCCGGTGCGCCGCGAGGTGGCCCGCTCTCCCCACAGCCGCTCGGGCTCCAGCGTCAGCAGCAGAGGATACTCCCCGGACCGAGCCAAGAGCCTGCAGTTCCCCTCACAGCAAGGCAAGAGTATGTAGGTCCCGTAGAGACCCCACCCTTAACGCAGTATAGAGCCTCCCCACCCAACTCCCTAAAACCTCTGTCCATCTCGGCACAAGGGGAAATATAATAATAATACTAATAAAGCTTTATTTATATAGCACTTTTCATACAACACATGCAGCTCATATTGCTTTACAAAAATGACACATCACAAGAAATTCCCCTCAAAATTATTTGTTAAAAGGGACGCAAAATATAACAGTTAAGTTATAAGCGTCTAGTGTGATGTGTTTGATCAAAATAGTGGCTTAGTGACTTACCCAAAGGCTATGGGGTATCAAAAGACATACATGTGTAACGATATCTAAATACATGTACATGTACAGTACTTGTCCTATATATAGAAAATACATACACAAATGTATCTTAACTTGGATGCAGATGTATAAACATGTTTGCTTTACTGTGGAGAGGAGAGAGTGAAGACAAGAAAGAAAGATTGTCATAGGAAATAATGTATATTGTATAAATATTAATCATTAAAAATGTGCAAAATAAATACATTTTAAATAAAAATACTGATGGTAAAATAAAAAAAATATATATTATAATAGTAATTCATTAATTAGGATCATTTATAAGTGTGTGTGTATTGTTATATAATTGTTTTGTTTAAATAATTATATAATAATCATTCAAAAGTTACAAAATTGAAAAGGTACAAAAATATTATAATAGTAATAATGATTATATAATAAATAACAATACCCTTTTATAAATAATAATAATTAATACATTTATATACAAAATAAATAAATTGGGGAGGAGTGGGGGGGGCAGGAGAAAGACGCACAACATCAACGTTTGAAATTCAGGACAATCCCTCCCAAAACATGCATTTCCTGTCTTCATGTTCCTCTATTATTTGACTGCTTCCTCCTTTAACTCGTAATGTGGGTGACCGGCTTTTCAGGTGTGGACGTTCCAGAGGGTCATGCAGGTCTATCTGATCCCCTCTGGGGGGCGCTCTATCCTCAACAGATTGGACATGAAACTTTGGGTCTGTACATAAAGCCATTTGAAACAAGCTCAGACTTGGGTGACAATAAGCAAATCTTCTCTTCCTCTCCTTTCGTCTCCTTGCATCCTTGTCCTGTCAGAAGGAAATGTTGTGGCGTCCTATTACTGACACTAAGTTTGGAGAAGGATACAAGGATGGAGGACAGACTTAAGGGCCTGCAAAAGCTTTAAACCTATAGAAGATAATCAAACAAATGAACCTCGGTTAAATAATTGCCCTTAAGTATTCTCGCTATAATAAACTCCGAATTAACACGGAAGTGATTTCACCCAGGTCTGAAGTTCGTCGCACAGAATTCTGTTTGTTCACTAGATGCTAGTGGTGACTGTAATGGGTTCCTCTGTGGTAGCACCTTCCTTGCTTCCTACACTGATCTGTAAATATGACATAACATATGCTAACCTTGCAGATGCATGTAGACATTTTAAAGTAATTGTCCCTATTCATATGCTGGCATTTGGCAAACTGCATACTTGGATAGTCTTAATAAGGTGGTGCAGTGATGAGCTAAAAGCAAAGGGTCCCTCAACCTGTGAAACCCTCAATAGAGTGTGTTAACCACAGACCTTATTTCAGACATCTAAGCAAAAACGCATTTTTTAAAAAGTGACTTCAAATAAGAAAAGTTGAAAAATGCTGACTCATTTGTGGGTCGTAGGACTCATTCCTGCACCACTCTATGCCTGATTGAATCTTAGATTTGTATTTTTCTTTTTGATGTTACTGACACTGGACATGTGCAGCCTTTCAAGTTTTACATGACTAATTTCGCAGCATGTCAGCAACAAATCTAAGATTAACTGAACTTGCTAGCATACGCATTTGTTTATTTCTATGCTTTGTATACCTAAACCATCCGAGCAAACCGTTTCCTTCAGGTCTCCTACCATCTTCGATGCTGCCATCTCCTTTTTTGACATTTTTACTGGACCCTTTTAAGACTGGCAAGTGGTCGTCATGCTTACGTGGCAAAGTAAGCCTCGGTTGCCTCAATGTTTATGATGCATGATGGTAACCTCTTAAGAAGCTGAGCAAAGCACCGTTAAACATATTCTAGTGAAGCATCGGGGCAGAGAGTGTGCTTGATGGATGGCTATTGGATAAGGGAGAGTGTAGTTATTGTGTACATGGTCAGTGACCTTACAGTTTGGTCTTCCTACAGGATGTGAAGAGACTTATTCACACAGCAAGATCTCTGGTAAGTACAGTTCAGTATAGTTGTTGCAGACTAATAGAAAAGCAGTTGGTTTGTTTCCTCAGAAATCTATATTTTAAAGGGGACCTATCATGCAAAATGCTCTTTGTGATGTCTTTTATACATAAATATGTGTCCCCGGTGCGTCGGGGAACTCACGCAGCGTCAGAAAATAAAACCCTCTCTCTTTTCCTCCATACCCAAATCTTTTAAAAACGAGTGTACAACGAGCGGATACAGATTTCCATCCGCTGTGACGTCGGCGTATGTTAAAGGAGACCTATCATGCAAAATGCACTTTTGTACGTCTTTTATACATGAATATGTGTCCCCGGTGTTCCAGGGAACTCACCAAGTGTCAGAAAACACAACCCTCTCTATTTTCCTCCATACCCAAATCTCTAAAAAAGGGGCTGCAACGGATCTGATAAAAACTGATCCAGATTTGAACACTGTCCTGACGTCAGGACGGTGGCACTACGGCTATTGGGCCAACTCCACCAATCAGGAGGAGACAGCCACGGCCATTGCCGTTCGAAAGCGCTGGAGACACTGTAGTACATATGCCAGGCCTGTAGGTGGTGCTGTTCTCACAGAATCTGCCCTTGCAGATTGCAGAGCTAAAAAATGTCAAATTGAGCGAAATGAGGCATGGCTAAAATGCATGATCTGTTTGGTATTTTGAAAAAAAAGTATAAATATGCCTTATATAGGTATGGTCCTACATTATATTATTCAAATATAGCATGATAGGTCCACTTTAAGCATAAGAGCTTAAACTCACAAAATTGACAAGTGCATTAAAAATAATGTTATTTCCATGGATGTCTCAACATAAACAATCCAATGTACCTCCTCCATCATACTGTATGTAATATAGCCCCTGCCTGTCTTTCAAGTGATTCTTTTTTATTATTATTGTTGCCATACAAATGAATGAAAGCGAGATGAAATTCTATGCAGTGGGTTTGTTTCCGAAACATACAAAGGTTACAACCGTTAAACTCAACCTATTCCCGGTGTGGGTAACCCGAGAGAGAAGGAGTGTTTGTAATGTGTCCAGAAGCCGGATCACTCCCCGCTCCGTCTGCCACTTTGTCAGGCCTCGTAAAGATGCCACCAGGTCGTGTGTGGAGCGAGAGGGAGAGGGGATAGGATGTCTGATGGATATCCCTGAAGCTTCCAGACTGGATTGCACAAAGCCTCGGTTAGAATACTCGCTTGAGAAAAGAAAAGGAGGGAAGGAAAGCGATATGAGGTGTCTGATAGATGAGAGGGAATTTGTAAAAGTGACGTTGAATCTTTTCACTTCGGAGCGTGATTTGTGAACCATGTGTTTCCTGATTGTTCTAGCCTAGGTACCTGTGTGGATCCTGGAACCAAACATCACCCCTTACTTACACTGAATACTTCCCAAACCTACTAATTGTCTTCTTCCACTGCTTCCTGTCATTTTCTCCATTCTAAATCTTCTTTATCACATATGTTTCACTCAAGTGTCACACTTTGTTTTGTCTCTATTTCTCTCTCCAGACAAAATCCCTGGCCTGTCGAGAGAAGGCTCCCCAGTCAGCGCAATATCATTCAAGGTAACAAACTACAACTCTGCTTCATAAAAAAGCCTTTTATGCTTCTTTTCAAACGGGTCTTCTGTTACAAATAGCAATTCGGTCCAAAAAAAAAGCCCCTTTTTGTTTATTATACATCCCGCCTTTTGTCACTGTACAGCAGGATGCATCTGGAACGTCTTAAATGCCATCCTTCTAATAAGTGTTTAGTTGCATTGAAGTATGTTAATGGCTTTTAAAGTGGCCGTCGCACAGCGCGTAAAAGCCATCGGGCCTGTGCTTTGTTTACCTGTGCTGTAAGCAGACTTCAATCACAGGAGTTGTAGTGGTGCAGGGGGGGGGGAAAGGGGCTCAAGTATCTACGAAAGTACGAGCCGTGCTTCCTTTTTTTAAAGTGTTTTAAAAAAAGTATTTAATGTAGATATCTCCTGCCTGTTTGGCTGATATCATCCATCTCCAACTACGCAGAGGAGTGTAAATAGAATCAGATGTGATTAGGCGCAATGCGTCTGGCCCCGGCCACCCAGAAGGGAAGAGGCTAACTCGGTAGCTCGAGTCGCAGCGTTATCATATGATCTAAGCCGCAAAGCCAGGAGAAGTCCCTGTGGAACTCAATGGACTGCGTGCAGGCCGTTTTACAATGAACAATCGCTTCCTTTTTTCTGTTGAAGAGCAACTTATACTGTGTTTGGCAGCTGTGACTGTCGAGTAGATGTAGCATGTCAGCGACACTGATGTGTAAAAACTGCAGTGTCACATTTATTTCAGATGATTTAGATTGGTCAAATAATACTGAGTTACGCAGTTTGCCGTCCATTCTGAAGCATTCAAACCCTCTTTTGTAAACTATACTGCTCCTTCTTTCTCCTGATGTGCTCTTTGATCAAAAAGCCCATAAAACTATCCTTAAATGCCGCTTTAATGTCAAAGCAGGCTCGTTATGTATCCCATTAGCAGCCCTCTGATCTTTTTCAGAGCACGCTGGAGGTAATTAGAATGTTTTTAGATATTTTCTTCCTGAGTCGTCTTCTCAAGTGGGCGACACAGCTGCAAATCCATGCACTTGCTTTATACTCTCGAAATTACAAGATGCTTAACAAAGTAAAAACATAGTCCTCTCCTCCTTATGTGCACTTTTGTTAGTGCCACCCACCACCATCCAGCTGTGATGAAAGTTTTACAAAGTGCCCCACCCCTACACACACACACACACACACTGCTGCTGTGTTTGATCTAGCCTGTGGTGCATTGTTTTTTTTGTGTTCTGGGGGCACAAACCCGTAACCTTGGCCGAGATGAAAGGCCTGCACTGTGCCCCCCTCTCAAGCTTGCACTTATGGCCCCTGCCGCTGCCTGCTGTGGGGATTCAACAAACACACTCGCAGGCTCTCTGGAGCCATCCCAGACAGAAGAGAGAGGGGAGGGGTTGGGGGGGGGGGGGGGGTCTAAAGAGCAGCTTCGAGCCATGGTGGCGTAGCGGGTGGAGAGCGTGCCCTGTAACTGAAAAGGTCACCAAAGTGATGCATCGCTGTACAAGGCAGACTCTTTCATTACAGTATGACATTTACCCACCGAGATGATTACTGAGATCATGGGATGCTAACGGGGAAACACAAGCAGGCCGAGGATCACAGGGGTTATAAACCTGTTGTCCTTTCAGAAGTTTAGTTATTGTGATATATTTAGGGGTACAGCGTCGGTGAGTCTACTGTTTTCAATGCCTCCATGCTGGGGAAAGCCATTGCTGGGGCATTATGTTTTCTATGGAAGGAATTTTTTTAGAAATTTGGCATAAAAATCCAATCCGACTCTTGACATTTAGAATGTTGTGGTCACACATCAAGGCTACTGTGATGTTACAAAACAAAATATTTCGGGCCATACTTCATGCTAACAATGGCAAGTTCACACAAATGTATTTTAGGATGAATACAAAAATAATGACATTTTTCGACGGACATGGATGTTATTGAAACTTGAGTGGTTGATGTTCCCCTGACTTTTCCTGTAGCGTCACCATGAGGTTTCAATTCATGAGTGAAATTTACCAAAAACTAATTGGCTGAATGCCTTTTTTAATTTGGATTCTTTTTGGATTTCCATCATGGTTTCCTTGAAGGTAAAGACAGAGGATCGGGGCAAGTTAGATCAACAAGCTCATAAACATGTGTTGGTTAGATCCCACTCGGATTGCTGCTGTTCTTCTACCACGGTGGAAGAGTATGAAATAATTTGTTAAAGCAGTAATTAGAAAATGTTCATGGTCAGTTCCAGATTGACCAGATCAATTTGCAAGAACTTTAGGTCCAAAAACCTCTTTAAACATCCATGTATACGTTACGTTTCTTCATTTGAACAGGGACAAAGCACAACGAATAGATAAGATGTAATGGTTTTTAGCAAATTGCTATTTTCCGCCGGTGGTTCCTGTGCAGGTAGGAAGAGTTAATCCATCCTGATGAGATTAGATTGTTGTGCCTTTTTGTATAACGTATAGCTTCATATTGATGACGCTGTGCCCAGCCCGTTGAAGTGAAAGACTCAGACAGATATATTCTCACTGAGTCTAAGGAACTCTGACAAACGTACAGGCGTACTCCTCCCAAGCAAAGCTTCAGGGAGAGAATCAGACGGAGGAATAATTGGATGATGCTTTTATGAGTCTTGCCTTTTTTTTTTTTATCTCCGACCACACTCAGACATTGCGATGTACCATCCCCTGCGATTTTTCTCCCCTCGTTCATCTGGAGTTTTAATATGACTTAGTCCGCGGCCCGTTTTCCCTTTTTAATGTATGACCGGACCTTAGTCATGGCTGGGCAGCTCTGCTCCCTGGCCTTCAAACTCTAATAGAATCAGGAAATGAGCAAAAGAAATTGAGCGTTGATCCAAATTGGCCTCATTTCTCCCCTTTGCTCTTTGTTTTGGCTCTCACAGTAATACTTATGGGTGATTGAGTTTCCAGGCTATCCATTAGACAGGCTCATCTTGGCCTTTCCCGGCCCCATTTCCCATTATTAAGAAATAACAACATATCGCATTCTACAATTCACTTTGGAAAATGAGTGCAATGTTAAGCCAGGTTTTAGTCGTAGTTTCTAAGTAATAAGATCAGTGTGCAAAATGGAGATCTGGCAGATTTGAAGGCATATAAATCTGATGTAATTTCTATGGATTCCCAATTTGTCGAGTAGTTGTAAGAAGAAATCCACAGCACCCAACTTTCTCAGCGTATACTCGGGCTTTTCAGCTTCAAGAACTCCTGTAAATCTGAGCTTCATCTATTGGTACGCCTCATCACACACATCTTTGCCGTGACGTTAAACAGTCAGTAGGTCAGGTTGCACTGGCTCTATGTGAATGGCTACAAGTTGCTGACCTAAGTCCGTTCATTGTTTTCCTATTATATGTTTTTTATTGTCACTTCTGTAGTTATATGGCATTCATTTCCTGACTTTTCCCATGCTGTGGCAGTTGCTTAATAATAATTGTGCTCACCTCTCTGAGTCTTCCTTAGACAGTGAATCACCTGGTTGTCCTTCTACCTTTCCAGGAGGATAACCACGCCCCAGAAGGAGACAAAGAAGAGCCGCTGGTGACTCCCGTCGTGGAGGAATGCCAAAAGCTGTCGCCGGACAACTTCCAGGAGCGACGAGCAAGGGCCATCTCAGCCAAAGCTCAGGAGATAGAGAAGGTACTGCCCAATTTACATCTTAACTTTAGGCCTCTTGTAGCAGGGCTTTGTCAACAGGACCATAACATGACATGTAATGTTTTCTAGCGGTAGCCTCACATTTAAAGAGGACCTATCATGCAAAATGCACTTTTTGATGTGTTTTATACATCAATACGTGTCCCCGGTGTGTCAAGGAACTCACGCAGCATCAGAAAATAAAACCCTCTCTCTTTTCCTCCGTACCCAAATCTCTAAAAACGGGGGTGCAACAGAGCTGATCCAGATTTGCGTCCGATATGACGTAATATCTGAAATGTGGACCCACGGCCCTATCAGAAAGTTGCTATCAGAAACAATCAGGGTGCGTACGGGTGCTGGAAATCCTTGAAAATGCTTGAAATTGTACAAGGTGTTTTCAAGGTTTGAAAAGTGCTTGAATTTTGGGAATGGTGCTTGAATTTGGGATAAAGTGCTTAAAATTGTAAATGCTTTACTTCGCTTTTTAGATTAAAAGAAAATAAAGAAGTCGGAGCGCGCTTAATTGCTTCGCTTTTACATAAAACAGCTCCGCTCCGGCCTTCCCGCGCAATGCGCGTGACCGGCAAGTGTTTTGTTACGTGTGTGACCTGGGCATTCTGATGAGAGTGATAGATGACAGTATGCCAGGAGGTTGCCGTTTCAACGAGCGTTGGCTAGCAGAAGACAAATACAAGCCATGGCTAAGACGAGGGTCAAGCGAAGCCCAAGAGTAGCCTCCTGCAAAGTGTGCAACAATAACGATGCGAGAGTCTGCGCTGACGCCACACACCACACGAAAGGTACGCCATAGTAGAGCATTTTAGATTAGGCTATCGTTGCATGTAAAATACATGACACTTTTCTCTGTGCGCGGCAAAACAAGCTCGCCAAAATGGCTTCACTAGTCTGGCAGTATTTTAAGTGTCCGAAAGTGACAATAAAATAGCGGTATGCAACGTGTGTGTGAAGCAGAAATCCTGCAGCTCCACCCGCTGTGACGGACCGGTGAGCGAAGCAGAACACTTGGACCTAACACACTTAGCTATTTTATCTACCTCTGGAACAAGCTGATTCCGGCGATCGGCTCCAAAATTGGCGATCGGAGCATCCCTAATAATTGTATATGATATGTTTTATAATGATTGATCATTAAAGTGTTCTCAAAGCTGGTAAAGGTGCAGCTAGTTTGAATGACTTTGTATACTGCAGGGTAGCTTGTGAATTTACTCCAGGTGGAACTAAAGTCTGATTTAACACTTGATTATATTTCACATCATTCATCCAGATCTGTAAAGTAACTAAAGGTATTAAATACATGTAGTGGAGTAAAAGTAAACCATTTACCTCTGACTTATGTTTACTGCCAACCTAAAAGTACCTCAAAAATAGTAATCAATAATATATTGAAAAGTTATTTGGCTGATTGTTTTATATTGGCTCAGCCAGGTTATATGGGATGCCCAGTCTACGTACAGATGGGTCTCATTTTGAAATATTAAACTTAGTTTTCTTTTCTAAAAATTTAAATTTTTCATCCTCATGTAGAATGCTATTATGAAACACATTTGGTTGTTTATAGCATAAAGAACATCAGATTTAATGTGAGGTAGGGAAATAATCATTTGAGTATAAGTATGTGTATATAAATATGTAATTTACAACAGCTGTAAGATGCTTGAAAAGCTTGAAAATGCACCTTGAAAATGCTTGAAAAGTGCTTGAATTTGACTTTGGAAAAGGTGTAAGAACCCTGAACAATGCCCGACTGTTTTGGACGTAATATGGTCGGTGTTTACATTAGCATCGCTAACACTCAGAGCTAACCTGTACTGGAGAGCATGTGTGTGAAGAAGCAGGAAATAAAAAGGAACTCACCTTGTGGTATAACCGGCAAGAGAGAAAGCCTTTGAGCTCTATACTGTTTCAGAAACAATCCTTGATAATCCATGATATGGCGTTTCATCACGGCAGTATTTAGTTTAGACAGTAGCTGCCGGGTCCCGCATGAGCTCAGCCCCCCCTTTTTTTATTTTTTATCAATTTTTATTTTTTTTAAGCTTTATACCCAAATCATCACTTTTGAAACAGGAAGTGAAATAGAGGGATATGAGGCATGGCTAGAATGGATGATCTGTTTGGTATTTTGAGCAAAACACTTCATAGTCATGTTTTTTTAAATATGTTTATTTATCTGAGACTTATGCTATTGCCTAAAAATAGCATGATAGGTCCACTTTAAGTGAAATGCTTTTCATGTCATTTGGCATGAATTCCAAGCTTATAAAAGATTATTTCAAAGATAATCTGTGCCCAAACTTCCACAGAGAGTTATTAGAGTACGACTCAATCTCTGCCTGTAATACCGACTTCATCACCACTAACTATCTCCTGGGAAATGAACTAGAACAGAGTAGAAACACTGTTCTCTGTAAACTCACCATGAGCTCATAAAAGAAAATACACTAGTTTGGTTGGATACGGAATGAACTGGTATTTATGAATCATTTGTTTAGAAACTAAATATATGTGGTATTGGTAAATGATGTGTGTTTCAATATAGCTATTTTCGATGTGTTTTTGATCACTGAAAGCGCTTTACAATCTTGGTTCACCCGTGAGACATACTGTACCCTCTGCACAATCCCCTACGGTGATCTAGTCTCTCTTATTTCTCTGGATATGATTTTCTGGAACATCCATCTGTTATTATGGTCCTAATAAGGCAGGAAATTCACTTTTCTATCCTCCACTCACAGTGATGGGTACACCAATTGTCACCGCTACCAGATATGTCTCACAGCAGAATGATGGTTCATTATCTGGCGAATTTGGTTGTTAAATGCATCTCTGCAGCTCTTTGTGCAACAACTGCTCATTAAACCTTTACACCAGTTTAATATCCTGCATAGCTCAACAGTACAACCCTCTATTGTTTACACACACGGATTTAGAAACACTAGGCTAATGTACGTTACAGGAACATATAAACGAAAACAGAAACACAAGTAAAGCTCAGGCATGGTATAGATTTGTGCGTACAATAAATCGAGGGCACAACGGAGCTCAAACCGCCCCGGGGCCCGAGGTTCCAGCTCTGCTCAGTTATCTAATGAAGGCACTGAGCACCACCGCTGCTTTACTGGGATCATTAAACCCCATCCAGCTCTGCCCTGGAGCACACACTGCGCCCCCACATGGAGCTGCGCCACAGAGCCTATAGGGTTGCCTACGCTGCAGCTTCTGGCCTGTTTTATAGCCTCTTATAGTCTCTTTCTCCACACCTGCGTCTCCTCACATCACTCGAGCTATGCTGTGGTAGTTTAATTTGTTTCGATTGTCACATGGTACAGATTACAGAAAACGATTAGCAAGACGCATGTCGAGAATAGTCTTTAGGGCCTTTGGACCAACGTAGCTATTACAAGTTTTTTTGTGAGACTGGGTTGACAGGACTGTCCTCATCTGCGCTCTTATTTTGTAAGACAACTTCCGGTTACAGAATATGAAAAAACAGGTTTTTTTTTAGTTTCTGTTTACTAGTGGTTTTATTTTTATTTTTGAGAAGTATAAAATGAAATGCATCCCGTTTTTTTTAATTTAGTAAATCCCTTTTTGACCGTGATAAAGAAAAACGCCTTGTATTTCAATTTAACTTTTTCCATTTTAAAACAAAAATTAAATATCCACTGGTTTTTTGTTTTTGAATATCCTTTTGTGAAAAGAAAATCCAATGACCAAAAAACACACTGACCCTTTAGGTTATTATCGTGTTTCCATTTTCAGTATGCTCCTTTGCTTTAATCTTCGAATGTAGTCATGAGATTATTTTGCAATTGTGTATTCCATTTTCTCAGTGATATGAAGTTTCTTTGGAATTGTCCGTAGATCCAGATGATTATCAGCGGTTATTTTCCTCCTCTTGTCCTCCGCATTGGTCTTTGTGATTTCCAGAACACTTTCATGTACTGGGACCTCGCCTCAGTCAGCTGTGTTTCTCTCACACACTACTAGACCTAGCAGGATAATTACGTTATCGACTTAGCGTATCACGTGTGCACAGAACCTTGATCTTTTCTGCTGACCTCCATATCCCCCGTTGTGTTTACATTTGATTCGTTGTTACATAAGACTGTCACCAAACATTTTATCCAATATGATGCCCGGGGTAAACAGCAGGGTTCCCCTACCACTATAAGAGATTTACATTATATAGATAAACATTGCTAATTTTTGTTAACAGAGCCGGAGCGTTCATTTTATGTATTGGATTGGTGGTAATAATTCTAAGATCATCATAAAAAAGTTTAAATAAAAATGGTCCCATGTGGCTATTCCATATAAAACAAAAAAATACATAATTAAATGTACATAAAATCAGTGTTTTTTTAAAGAGATTTAAAAGAGCAGATAAAACAAAATACCATCCATCTCAATTATTTCCGGGTCAATATGTTGATTTTTTAAAATAAATATGAATGGACGATCCCGAAAGTATTTCAGATTTTTGTAAGTCGACACTTCTTACCCTTTTTTTAAACCCTTTTATATAAACACTGATTAAAACCTGTGAGAATCGCCTCACATAATGGTTAGTTACCTGGCAAAATGGCAGACAAAACAAACTGGAAAATGTCATAGCCTAAGTCTGGAGGCTGGTGTTCATTTCCCACCATGCCCAGGAGGACACGCTTTCCTTTTTCGGTCTGAAACAACAAGCACGGTTTGTGTCACAACCGGCACTCGATGTGTTCAGAGTCTTGACAAGTGTCGTCCAGATGTTTGGCTTTCTGCCCCCAATCTGGTCTAGCCATCTCTTCTGTACACACGGACACAAACACACTCCGGTCCAGTAGCTCCTCACTCACTACACTTTTCCACACTGGAGTTTCCATCATCGGCCCGACATCGTGCTGCGCCGCATCGTACCACCGCCGCCCCGCGTGTTTGTGTAGCTAAGTGAAACAGGTCTGCTGAAATTCAACCTGAAGCCCCTTCTCATT